TATTATGGATCGAACCGTCGATATGTACACTCCAATATTACATGAATTCACTTATCAAGCGATGGCTAACGACCTTCTGCCAATTGAAAACGGTCAAAGATACTCATATAGTTACTCAGACGATAATGGTGCCCCAGCAAATAAAGAGGCTACATTAGATGAAACTGATTCGATATGGGTTAGTATACGGCATAAACACATGAAGGACTGCATCGATCAACTTATGACAGATTTCAATAAATTTTTGGTAGAAAACGAAGGCTTTAACGACAAGTAAATACAAATGGTATATTATTTTATATTATTGTAAAAAAATGCATATTAATTTTTAATTGACCATTAGAGATAAAGCTGCAAATTTGAATGATATAAAAAAAATGTTGGCTACCTTACCCCAATTCCAAACTATGAAAGAAAAGGTCAGTAAATATAATATAGATATTTGCATACTGGGGTATCCTCGAGTTTCAAATTAACTTTTAGTTTTAAATCAAAGTATGCTGTTCACTTGAATATTGCACAAGAATCTATGAGCGTGTTTGATAAAGAAAAGCTTGCTGAAGTAGCCACAGTCGAACAGGTATTTAACATTAAATTACCTTTCAGGAGCAAAACGTATGTGCTTAATTTTAGATATAAATATATATATTTATTTATTTATTTTTTGAAACAGAATTGTGCCACTGGATTAACATCCGATTCTCAACATCCTAAAACATTAATGGAAGATATGATTCCTATACTAGATAATCCTGTCATTAGGTAACCGTGGAAACAGCAATTATTGTTTAGTATTTCTATTATCAATTGTGATTATGACAATAGTGCAATTTATTTAGCTCAAGTACCAAAGTAAGAATGCTCATGCTTTACATAATGTATAAGCGTGGTATTTCAGAAGAAGATCGTCTTAAGCTATTGAATCATGCGAGGATCTCATTACCAGAGAATGAATCTATCAATAATTTAGAGTTTTTTGGCGAGAAGTTAGTGAAGACAAAAGTATGCAATTTACGCAATTCTAATTGTCAATTGATTAATACCTGACAGTTCCACTATTTAAATTTTTTAGACTGGTCCAAGCATTACGAAAAAGAAAAAATATAGACAACCACAAGGTGATGATATTCACTATGAATTTTCCCGGTATATCCCTAGATTAAAGAATATTTTGGAGGTGCAGTAGTTTTTCTTTTTTTTTTTCTTTTTGATTCATTGATATACAAGCTTCATCTTATAATATATATCAATTTGTTAGAGTCATATCGATAAAACTCTAGATACTGCTGAATATCCGTATACAAAAGATCCAGCGGGTGGACCAGATGGTGCTAAAGCCTCGTCTGATTTAAGAAGGTGCGTAGATTCTAGGTTATCTTAACACAACGTTAATATATTAAATGAACTAATAATAGCTCAAAATAATTCATATTTAGTGCTCGACCTACGTGGTTTTTGAAAGGTCAGGAGGTAAGTTGATCAGAATTTTTCTTATTTACTATTGAACCATTTAATATTGAATTTTTTATACTTTATTCAGGCCATAAATCCCCGTATAATAGTTTTTATAGCCGGTGGTGTGACATATTCAGAACTCCGAACCGCATATGAAATCACCACAAAACATCGCCAAGATGTCATTATTGGTAAGTTAATTTACCTATATGCTTTTTTATTAGGAAGATTTGGTCCGTAATATATATATTTTTTTTTTAACATGCTAGGCTCAACACATATTTTAACGCCTCAGAAATTCGTTGAAGATCTATCACTTCTTCGCAAACCGCCTACGCGTTCATATTCACCACCAAAGCAAAGACCGTTACCCACGCCACCAACCACTCAAAATTATAATCAGTACAGTAAATCACCATCATCTGACTATCGCCAAAGTCATCTAGGTGGTTATTATCCACAAGGTGTACAATATCCGCAAGGTGGACAATATTCGCAAGGTGGACAATATCCACAAGGTGGACAATATCCACAACCTACACACTCACAGCAAGGTGCTTATTCAGAAGGCAACTATCAACATGGAAATTATTCTTACACTCAATCAAATTCCGGTTATCAACAACAAGGCTATCAGACAAGGCATCCGAAACCATAATCTATGTTCCAGTCATTTTAATTTTATAGATAGAGTGTATAGGGATGTATTAATTTTTGGCTATTTTTTTTTATTTCCAACTCGCCCATTACGAACATATATCATTTTTACACTTTTTATTTATATATATGATCATTGTAATATTAAACAGTAGAAAGTAAGCATTTGTATAATGATAATAGTTCTCTATCTAGTGACTTCGAAATAATGTGTTGAATAATTTATCATTGAGTTGAATATGCTAGTGGAATTGTTCTTTTACATCTAGTTATTAAATTAGTCACAACCAATTGAATTAATAAAATTTATCGATTAGTCATAACCATTTGCAATATAATATTAACGCAATCGATGGCGAGGCCTTCATGTATATCTTTGGCTAATTAAATTAATTAAAGAATGAAAACTCATTAAAAATTTGCACCGATGAAGCATTTATAGAGCTTTTCCAAATCTGTCCTTAGGTATACGCCTAAATAATATATGTGAAAAAAAAAATTATAAAATAAAAATTCAAAAATACGAGAACAGGGATACAACTAATTATTCGAATTTATTGTTGTACTATTTTCTAACTGTTTCAATAATCTAAGGATGTATGTAGAAACAAGGACATGTTAATGAATATAATATTTTTTAAAGTGAAATATTTATAATTAAAAAAAAAAGATTAGATCTTATATAAAAACAAAGAGATTGTTAAACTCAAGTATTATATACTATATGTCTTCTCAAATTTTAGTATGATTACATTTTATTATGCATATAATTTATCTTTTAGATGTGAAGACAGGTTATAATCAGGGTTGCCACATTTAGTATGTTTGTTCTATTGGCTTCTAATTCTATTTACTTTTTTATTTTTCTATTGTAAATTTTCAGTATTAAATTTTACTAATTAAATCTAAAAATATTTTAAATTTATTATTTTACTAATGGTCTAACAATAAATATTTAAATAATTGCAAATTATTAATAAAAAAATTTTTTTTTATATAAAGACAAAAAATCAAGGTTTTATTTTATTGTTCTATTTGCCAACACTGGTTATAATTCTCCTTATTCTTATAAATATTTCAACCCCTTCTCTCTTGGATTTTTCTTTTTAAATAGTTGGAGTATTCTTCTTTGGCTGTGCTTTATTAGTCTTCTTAATTCTTTTATCCTTCTTCTTTATTGTCTGAAGCGAAGCATAGAACTCATACTTCTATATTAAATAATAACCAAAATTATCTTTTTAATATATTTATAGTAAACATAATTGTGGCATTTTTCGTCTGTAATGCTAAATTAAACCTTATTTCAACTTCTAATAAAAGTTGTAGAGGTGTGTCTTGTGATCAAAATAGTGGTTAAAATGTTAAATTCGGCCCAGTAGATCGCGAAATATAAGCATTTTTGTCTTCGCAATTATATGTTTTCTTTTTTATAAATAAAGAAAAAAGCATATATAAGTAAAGACTAAAATACTTATATCTCACAATTTACTAGGCTAATTTTAACATTTTTAACCACTATTTTGATTGCAAGACAGTATTCTACAACTTTACTTACAAGCTAAAAAGAGATTGACTAAGCAAAAATTTAAAAATCACAACATTTTTTATAAATTTATTAATAAAATTATAGAAAATATTAAACTTGTTCTATGTATAAAAATACATTGTATCAGTTTACATTTATATTATAAATTTAAATTTTAAGAGAAAAGATGCTTAATTTTGAATTTTTGATCAAAAATCTAAAATTAAGCATCTTTTCTCTTAAAATTTAAATTTATAAGGTAAACGTATATTGATACGATGTATGTTTATGCGTAGAACAAGTTTACTTAGAACATGAAGGTAGGTTTAATTAGTAAAATTTTGTGGATTCTAATATTTTCAATAATTTTATTAATAAAATTATGGAAAATATTGCAATCCACAAAATTGTACTATCTAATTCTACCTTTATACTATAAGTAAACTTGTTCTACGCATAAAAATACATCGTATTGGTATACGTACGTTTACCTTATAATTTTTAAATTTAAGAGAAAAGATGCTTAATTTTGGATTTTTGATCAAAAATTCAAAATTAAACATCTTTTTCTCTTAAAATTTAAAATTATAATGTAAACGTATACTGATGCTTCGGACTCACACCGGTTCCCGGTTCCTAGTATATACTATATTGATCTGCTACTAAAGTAAACCCAACCACGATTACAACTGCTTACCCAACGATTTATAATTAATACAGTGTATAGTAAAGTAAAACGCAGGTAAGATTTCTAAGTTGTTTTCAAGATCAAAACTTACATGTAAACGTCTCAATCAGCCTCTTTTTCAGCATTTAAACCTTATATATAGCTAGTGTAGTACAGTAATAAATAGTGGAATAGATGCTTTTAACTGTTAAGTGAAGTTCTTGAGAATGTTGATTATTTTTGATTATTTTGCACAATAAAAATAAGTGTTCTTTCGAAGCTAGAAATGGTCTTTATGGTGATTTTTATTAGTGAAATGTTACATTCTCAAAAAGTACAATCATTCGGTGGGTGACCCGGAGTAATTACATATAATGTCAACAAATCATATACTGTCAGTTGTGTAACTATATCAGATCCAGATCCGGATCTTTAGAGTTGAATCCGGATCTGAATATGGATCTGATTCAATTTTTCGAATCGGACCCTGATCTTTAAAAATATCTGTCCGATTTGATCCGTGTGGAACACTATGGGTGATTTATGATAATTTTAACCCAGGTGATTTTAAATAATTTAAATAATTTAAACTACCAATGATTAATAATTTTAACTTGGATATATAAATAAACTTTTCAATTAGATTTTACTTTTTTTGTAAAATTTGCTTAATCAATTTTCACTCAAGGTTATACAATGGAGCCTACTAATGAAACAAATTTACCCTTTCAATATTATCCTTTTTACCTGTTGTTTAAAGAAAGTTTGATAGACAAAACTATTCTATATGGCTCAGAGGACAATAATATCGGTTATACCCCTTTTGATTTTAGTAATATGCTGTTCTTTTCTATTTGCAACTATTTATCTTGTTATGTCTTTTGGTTCTTCTTTTGTGCCATAATAGAAGACAGGCACCCTTCATTTAGGGAAGGTTGGATAAATGAAACTCATTTATACAGTTCCAAATCCAATAACATTATATATTAGTATATTTAAGAATCGTTATAATTACACTTATTTCATTCGTACTACTTATTGTTATATTTACCTTTACCTCTATTAAGATGAACATCCTTCATCCACAAATGTCTTGACAGATAAAGCTTATCCACTTGGTCTTAAAAATACTAACACCGATGCTCAACCATTTTTTGATTCAGAAAATGCGAATGTTATAGATAGTCATGAAGAAAGTGTGAATATTGATCATAATGATATAGATGATAATACAGAAGATGAGTTAGATGAGTTAAAATTATTCAAGGATAAGCTATTTGATACGTGGGAAATTGCAGAATCTTATCTTGATCAGTATGGAAAACAAGAAGGATTTTCTTTACACAAACACTGTCGTGTTGCTGATTCTAAAGATAATAGCATAACACATCGTCACACTTATGAATATTCACACGGACATATACATGAAGCTGATAAGACTGTTTTAGCGGAAAATAGAAGAGATAGGGAATTAGAGATAATTGATTGCCCTTGGCATATTAATTTATCCTTTTCTAAAATAGGCAATAGTGTTCAAATAAATTCTATCATTGGTAAATATAACCACCTAATGAATCCACTTATTGCAGAAACTGCACCAAAATTTTGTTACTTAACAGATGAGATGTATGAAAAAATCAAGTTCTGGGCAGTTGAAGGGAGATTGGGTGCAACAACGCAGTATAATCTACTTGCTGCATCATTTCCTGAAAAAAAAATTAACAAAAAGAATCTGAGTAATACCATACAACATTATAAGAAATAGCTAAAACCTCAAATTAATAACACCTGTCAAACATTAGCTAATTTGTATCAGAAAACAGAGAATGATCCATCATGGGTAGTAAGGCCAAGAATTGACCCTGGTAAAAGAAGTTTAATGGCATTATTTTGGATGTCTCCCTCTCAAATATGTACTTATAAAAGGTTTCATGATGTTATAGTTATTGACACAACATTAAAAACAAACCAGTTTGATATGGTTCAATTTATGGTTATAGTCATTAATAATGATTTCAGAAATTTAATAGTGGCAGCGGCACTTTTGAAAGATGAAACTGAAGCGACGTTTGCCTGGATTTTAAATAAATTAAAAATAGCTTGTGATATTATCCCAAAAGTTATATACTCAGATTTAGATCCTGCATTGATAGCTGCTATATGTAATAACTATCTAGAAACTTGTCTTTTCATTGCATATTCCATATCAATCTTAATTTGAAAAAAAATCTTAGAAAAAAGTTACATGATCAGTTTGAATTATTTCAGTGCAAATTTTTAGCAATGCGAAATACCTTATATCACAGACAATTTGAGGTTAGATAGGCCAAACTTATTGAGGAATTTCCTGCTTGTGAACAATATTTAACATGTACATTATATTCTTGTAAAGAGAGTTGGGCAAGCTACGTAATTTTACTAGGAGAATCCAAAGCACACAAAGAGCAGAAACTTCCAACAGAATTATAAAAGAGAAGCTTAGTCAAAATTCATGGTTGGCTGATATCATTGAACAAATCCAACTAACTTTTAATAATCAGTCAAAAAGAGTATTAGTTAATGAACATAAAAACGAAATACCAACCAGAGGCTTGTCTACAATAATGGAAGAATATTTTCCAGAAATAATCAAGCTATTATAAGAATATCTTATCCCACAAATCTTCCAGAAGCAATGTGACCAGATATCACAATCACTTTGTTATGATGTTTTTTTTGTTGATGATTGGTTTGTATTATTAGAGGTATGTAAGAATGATCTAATATTACTGACCTAAAAATAAGACTTTCATTGCTGTTAGAATAGATTAGAAGATCAGTTATAACAAAAAAAACTTTTTTTAAGAGTACAATATAAGTGTATTTTGATTGTTTCATTAAAAAATCAAAATTAGTTATGTATATCTTTTTTTTTTTTTTAGACAATAGATGATTCTTATCAGTCAGATACAGGCAGAGAAGATGACTAAGATCAACCCTAGACCTTGTTTTCTTCACTAATTAGTCATGTATCGCATAATAATATTAAAGAAATATAGAAGGTTGTTAGACATAGAGTACTACAGTCAATACCTCAATATATAATTGTGCTTTATGATAGGTCTCATTTATGTACTTGCCTTTGTTTTATCAACCAGGGCATTGTCTGTAGATACTTTTTTAAAGTTATGTCTTATTCTCAAAACATATGCTTTTATATTAGCTTATTCCACAGTAATGGTATAATGATAAAAAGGCTAGTATCGAACAACAAATTCATCGGTTAATTGCAGTATATCAACTTGTTGAAAATAAGTTGAACCAACTTCCACCTCAGCCACTATCGTTTAACCATTTGGAAAATATTAGAGAAACAGTTTATGTTGAATATAAGCAAAGTCCTAAACAGAAGTATGGTTTTGAAATAGGCTATGCTAAAAAAGCCCTTGACTACACAATTTGAGCAAATAATGTTGACGAATTTGTTAATTATCTGGAAAAGTTTATTGAAAGAACAAAAGCTAAAATAGATGAAGAGAATATTGAAAATGTAATTATTGGTATTCCAATACATGTAAAGCACAAAAAGCACCAACCTAAGCATTATAGATTAAAAGGTGAAGATTTATCAAGAAAAAAGAAATGAAACATTCAAGAAACAAGTAATGTTGCTGAAAGTTCTACAGGTTCTATTAATAAAAAAGGTGTGAGACTTTTCCAAAAATGCAGACAATTAGTCATTATGCACTGCGCTATCCGAATTAGTGCAAATAATTGCAAATAATACTAATTTCGCTACATATAGATATATTACATATGTGTACATATATAGAAATATAGAATGCGTAAAATGGTTTGTAAGATTACTAGTTTGCATTTAGCTATTAATTTTAGTCCAGACTATTGCTATTTTTATAAGTTGTACCTATAGCTTTTCACTTTTTCCAAAGTTTATAAATTGCTATATCAGAGTTTAGTATAGTATAGACATAATATAAAGGTTATACTATACTAGTTCTGCATTATTAGTATAGTATAGTAAAAATCGATATTATGAACTTCTATTAAGCTAATTAGATTACTTTACCGATAGCTTATTTAGCAGACATTAAGTGTTAATTTATTAGATGTGCGATACTGCTAAATAAGCTGTTAGTAAAGTACTTTTTTAATTTTTAAATTGTTTTGGTTTGATTATGTTATATGTATTATATTAAAATTCAATAAATTAATATATTTTATAATTTATTGTTATTATTTGATATTATTGGTAATATAAAATCATGTGACGAGGTGATTTTATCTGAAGACAAGTTAGCAAAATCCAATATTAATTATACTTTATAAAACTAGCAAATTTGCAATATTTATAAAGTAGTTAGACTTTAAAAATAGCAAATTTAATATATTAAACTATTATTTTTATGAGAATTTCTATTTGTACCTAGTGGATGTGGTACTCGGATATAAGAAAAAAAACAAAAATCATTAATATCTCATAATTTTATTAAGAAACCAATGTAATGCTCTTAAGTAAAAATGTTCAGAGCCTAATTTTACATATAAATAAACTTTAATTTTAATCTTAACTATATATAGTTATGTTTTTTTATATACCAGGTATTACACCTAGGGCAGTGTTGTTACTCGGACAGAGTTTGACACTAAATAATACTAAATAGAACAAGATTTTATTATCATGACCCACCTTCAATTATTAATTAAAGTTGTTTAGAATTGATTTTTGCATATATGAGTATATTTTTAAAATTAGATTTGTAAGCCAGATAAGGTTCAGACAGTCCGCCAGACAGTTCAAAAAGGCTCGGACATCCAAAATATACAACACTGCTCTAGGGTATTTTAGAAATTTTGTATTTTTATATTCTAATTACTTTGTCAATATAAAGAAGTTTTTAATTTTGTAAAGTGCAAATAATTTTTAAAAATCAAAATTTTAATAAATTATTTGATAGCTATAGAAAAACTTTGTGCATTTAATAAAAACAAAAAGTTAATATATTAGAAACTATTATTTTTAAAGCCTAACTACTTCTTTAATTTTATGAATTTTTTAATTTTGTAAAGTGTAAATAGTATTTGAAATTTTAATAAAATCTGCTTTAATTTTTAATTGCCATAAAAAAATTTTGTGCAATCACCAGTAATCAAATATTAAATTATAAGTATATATGATATCATATTAAGTTATAATAAAAATAATGACTATAATTGTATCTGGAATAATTTATGATAAAATTTAGATTCTGTATAAAATATAACTTGAAAAACATTATATTTATTTTTAAGAAAATACCTATTCATATAAAATATTAAACACTGAAAATGTTAATTAAGAAATATATACAGTATTAGCTATATCTTAATTTTTTTATAATTCTATATTAGATATAACAGTAACTAAATAACTGTTAATAATATTGTAAATATTCTATTTTTTTAGATTTAAAAAATAATAATTTTAGATATTTTAAATACATATATAATTTATAATAATTATTTAATAGTTTAATTACATAATATACTGCGAATCTTTTATTTTTAATAATATAAATCTGTAATTTGCGTAGTTTAAAATTTAATTATTGTCACGGCTGATGCTGAAATTGGCTGATGTTGAAATTTAGGGTCTCAATTTAAATATATATTATCTACTAAAATTCACATATACTTTTTTACTAACAACTCTACCCTCAAACCCTAACCTAATACTAAAAAAAACCCTAATGAAAAGGTCCAAAAATTTTTTAAAATTTTACAATAAAATAAGTCAAAATTTTAGCATAAGCCACGACAA